AAGGTAAAGTAAATTAACTGAGTTGTCGTTTTTTTTTTTCGCTATTTGATTCTCCCCGTATTTTCCAGTATTTATTTTAAGTTAAAACTAGGTATAGTGTTTTGTTATTGTTTATTTTATCTTTTTTGTTGTTAATTATTAAACCTACCTAAGTATTTTTGGTTCTATTTTCTTGTAGTCTAAGATTTTTTATTATTTGATTTTGTTTTTTTTATTTTATTTTTAATTGTTTTATTTTTTTTTGTTTTCATTTCAATACTCTGTAAATTGTGTTTCAATTTTTCGTCTAACTCTTTCACTAAAGCAAATTTACAAAATTATGACTGTAGATTCCATTTTGTTCCAACCTTGTCGAACTTTTAATGAATAAACTCAAAAATCTGATGGATAAATTTTAAGTTCTATTAGCGGACTTCCTGTTCGAGCGAAATACTTTATTCAAAACTAGAAAATAATATCCAGCTCCTTTTATTTCCCATCGACTCTATCAATATTTTGTGCACTTTCGTTGGATACTTTTCACTTAAAAGTTGTTTACTGATCATGTAGCAATATCGAGCCACTTAAACGAGGCTGACTAAGCTTCTTAGGGAATACTCCCGCGGAAGTCTTGAACTTTTCTTCCGCTCAAGGAGTTCTCTTCAGAGAAGGAACACTTAACTTGATGCAAATTTAATGCCAGATAGACTAAGTTAGTATAGATTGCCACGAGGGAGTTGAAATATGATGGAGGGTCGGCCATTGGCGGGACGGGTCGGGATTTGAGTTGGAAACGTTGGTTGGCGAAGGAGAACTGGAGGCAGATAAAGGATCTTAATCCTGCGCTTACAGTTTGACAGTTTATACATTTGGAATATTTTACCATTGGAATACTCAACTGTACAGGGGTACTCGTATAGTAGAAAAAATACAAATATTATTAATTATTTTTTAATTTTAACAAATTTCAATTTTCTAAAAGACAATAAAAACTAGTTTACAAGAATGAAAGGAACGCCAATATACACGGTGGTCAAAATTTTAATGGTAAACAGCATCAGAAATAGAAGACTAAACAAAACAGACTATTGACGAAATAATAACCAAAGGATATTAAAATGAAACTAAAGATGACAAGGAGGAAGATTTTTAGATTGTTAAAAGAAGAAGAACATATAAAACTAGTAGTGGTGATGGAAATGATGATTTTCAGGGCAATGAAAAAAAAATAATGACAAAAAATCTGGTTGTTCATGACAAAAGTACCTGATGCAATTACAACCAAAAATATTGAAATATGCATAAAAAGCAACATAGGATCTGAGGTCTGAGGGGACTGTCACGGTAAAGCTATTGCAATTATAATTATTTATTTATTTTATTTATGCAGTATTTTTTTTCTTTGATATTAATTGAAGTTTTTTCATTAATATTAATGCCGGTTACACTTTTTGAGCGTGATGACCGATAAGAAAGCAAATTTTTTTCTTTTATTGAATAAATAAGAAGTTAATTTTGTTTAAAATGATTTTATTATCTTACAATACATGTAGGTTATTCAGGAATTTTTATCATTGAAACTATAGGTTTATGGTAACTGAAATAAGAAACATAAGTTTGAGACTTGATATCCTCTAAATATCTGGAAAATACCGCGTCAATGGTGGTCCCATATTTTGTTGTGGATTCTTGTGTATCATTATTCATTTTCTAAAAGACATATAATCAGTTATGAGCAGTTAGCAGCTAGTCTACACGCATACGTCTAGTCGCACGCACACAAACACCGTGCCGGAGTCTGCCGAACTGAAACGACGTTAGACGATGTACGGCTTTCAACGCCGCACCGCTGTACCGGTCGGAGTGGGGGGGGGGGGGTGTCAGGTTTATTTTCGTTACGGAATTTCTTTTTCGATTTTTTGATTTTTCGATTTTTGTTAGAGAGTCGTAAAAAAATATACTGTACAACTCCAGTGGGCTTGAACTCACTCGTGGATGCGGCCAAAGAGCACGCTGTCTCACCTAGCATTGTGTCTAAAAGAGATAGAATCAGTTATGAGCAGTTAGCAAGTAGTCTACACGCATACGTCTAGTCGCACGCACACAAACACCGTGCCGAAGTCTGCCGAAGACAATGGTTTATTTTTGCGGAATTTCTTGATTCGATCGCCGCGCTCAAAGCCCGCAATAAAAGCTATGTAAAAGCTTAAAAATTAATACCTAATATTTACGCCAGCCGGGAACATTTGTGATACCAATTTATTAGAAGCTAGAGAAAGCTCTTCTAGTTCTTGTATTGCATAAATGTTCCAGTCCGCAGACGTATATTAAACTCCGCTTCATACTAATACGAATAGGGTCGGATAAAACCATCCATGGCTTTAACGCCGCACCGCTGTGCCGGTCGGAGTGGGGGGTGTTAGGTTTGTTTTCGTTACGATGTTACGAAATTTCTTGATTCGGTTGTCGCTCAAAGCCTGCGATAAAAGCTATGCAATAGCTTAATTATCCTTAACATCTTCTAAATCTGAACCATTTGTCACCATATCTGCATTAAATATGTCAACCCTTTGAAGTCATATTTTTTATCAAATGAGGAAGGTATTTTTTTAAATTCCTTATAGTTTGTAGGAATAGTATTAGTGAAAAAAAATATTAATATCAATTCTTCCTCAAAAAACCGCCATTTTGGATTGGATATATATGTCCCGGTTAGACATTTATAATGATACAGAATTAACCCAATATGCATCAATAAAACATTTTTTTTATGAAAATGAAAATTCAAAATATGAATAAAAACCAAAAAAAATACTTCCAAAAACCTAAATAAGGTATAAACTCATATTCATTTATTTCAATTGAAACAGTGTGAAACATGTTTTACATAAAAGTATGTTGCAACTTTGGCAAATAGTCATCGTTCTTGTTTCCTTTTTGTACTATACAGAACATCTTCTGCATGTTTGGCCTTCTATTGATAGATGATCACCAACGTTAAACATCTTTCGTTTCTTCATTGATACAGCTGATTTTCTTTTAACTCTAGCATTTTTCTGCATAAAGATATTAATTCTTCTGCTACTTTAATAAGAAATGGCAAAATCCATGATTTTTCTTTAACAAGATGTGAGTATTTAGAAGAGATATCATCAAAAACCTGAAGACAAATGTCGAATAATCTGATTGGTTAAATTTACTCCACTCATGTATCTGTTATAGAACTCCAGCATTTTTGGGATATATTTTCTAGAACCATCCTTTCCTGTCCGTTTTACAGTTGTAACGATTACAAAAATATCCATGTGTGGAGAAACAAACATTGATGTTTAGAAAAATCGATATTTTTTTCCCAATTTTTTTACAATATCCATAGTTTGTATTTAATGTATCATTTGATCTCAAGATCGATGTTTTAAAAAATTTGTGCATCCTTAATGACCGTTAACAAGTTTATACTGCGTTGCCACTTCCGCTTTTTTAGCAAGTGTCGTAGTAAGACTGAATTTGAAATATTCTGTACACAATGAGTTCGATTTTAACCAGCAGACACTTTAAACATTTCTTTGGGACATATATGTCCCGACAGTTCCCAAAGGGTTAAAATACTATAGACATATCTTAAAGTTTATTTAAGAAATATTTTATTAAACTCACATTGCTTAATGCATCATTTATAAAAGTATTTAAACTATGTCCAGGATGTTCGGACATAAAAATATTTGGTACTTCTACATTGGCCCGGTGTAACTTTACGTTGACCTGATGAAACTTTGCATTGGTGTGGGACAAGATCGAGATTTTTGTGGAACCTTAGGGATATTTCTCTGACCGTGCAGGAATTATTTAAAAATGTATGTATAGATTTTGCATTTTTGTTATTTGTTAGAAATCCCATTTTGAAGGTCATACATGCAATCCTTAAAATAATGATAAATATTATTTTATTCTCGGAATTAGTTTTGTATGTAGACTCCACCTTCTTTTATTTTCTATGTATAAAGATTTAATTTTTGTAATTAATGTGAATAGATTATCTAAAAATAATGATTTTTTAATTGACTCTAAAAATATGTACTAATAATAACACTAAGCAATATGTATGAACAAGCATCATTTACTATTTTCCATATCGCTGTTCCGGTAAAACAATGACGCAAATGCAAAATTATAAATTTTTCAGGAGAGACGAAAAACGAATATTATTACTTCCAAATTTGGGCACTTAAATCACAAAAAACTTGTTTTAAATAGCAAATACGACATTTAACCATGGAGTAAGTAATGTCTTCCTTAAATTTGCATACACAACTGTTTATATGTCATTGTTTTTCAAAAGTGGAGGGGAAAACATTAATATTTGAAAACTGACGTAACTACCATTTAGATGGCTGGGAGTGAATATAAAATTTCGCCGTTGTTATACCGTATAGAGAGACTAATTTGGAAACTAATGACATGTTAAAATCAAAATGTCACAATTTTGCACTTGCGTCATTGTTTTACCGGAACGGCGATATGTTTTATGTCTTAAAATATACGCGTCCCTGGTTTACAACTTTCTAGGTAAGCTACCAATTCTATTCATCGGTAGGCGTGTTCGTAGCATCATAAATGCGCATCCTTGGTTCTTTAGATTTGGCGTTTACTGTAGATGGTTGTTGTCTTGTATAGTTATTTTTATGAATGCCCTTTGTATTAAATGTTTAATTTCATAAATTTTTAAATGAGGAATTATTTTTGTTTTAGTTTTTGATGGTACCTATATACTTTTTTAAATAAAACATTTAGTAATTATTTGATAAGTTAGAGTTTTAATATTTTGTCCGGATTTTTAAAGAAATGTCTGGAATTTTCATTAGATATGTCAAGATAATATATTTTTTGAATATGGCAACCCTAGTCACGAAGAAGAGATTATAAGGTCTGTTCCAACAACATCACTGACACCAGCATTTTGTGTAGTAGATTATTTTGACCGCCAAACTACTCGTTATTGGAACATACCTCTTTTCTCAATAATATTGTTAATTGAATTTTTACCTTGATAAAACTCCGCTATCAGCTGCACCTCCGATGCCCGTCTCCATTACGCCCCCTCCTTGTACTCCCATGAATCCGTTTTTCTTCACCGTCGGATCGGCCCGACTCAGAATACTCGATATCGAAAAATTCGTCGACCCTCCCACACTCTTTGCTTTCGCGTCTTTATCAGTCCTTTCGTCGTCATCACTCGTTTTTATCACTGGATAAGAATTGTGTTGGTTGTGGTTGATGAGGCGATATGTGTCTGGTTCCGGAGAGCCGTTCCTGCTGGACGATTCCGGGCTGGAGACGACGTTTATTTCGGGGTCTCGATTTGGGGATGACATACTAAATGGTAGCCTATAAAAATAAAAAAAAATTGTATCAGAGAAACTTCTGGTTATGCACGACACGCTCACCAAACGAGTATTAATTTAATAACTTTAAAAAATATATATATTTTAGGCTCAATTACTGTGATGTTGCTTTGATATTGTCTTTGTTATTAACCTAGTCATATAAAAAACCTAAAATATACTAATTTATTGAAAATAAACGAAATTTTCCTAGAAATGTTTTCCGTCTTTTTTTATTATACAATTTTAACCAAATTTTAGGAGTAGTATAATTGGAAGAAAGTAAAAATTAATATAAAAAATAATGCATGGCTATTTAAGTATATAGCATCTTTCCCACCCCTAAAATTTAGTTAAAACTGCATAAATAAAGACGGATAATATTCCTAACTATAAAATTTTATTTATTCTGAATTAATCAGTATATTTTATATTCATTTTTTTTTTAAATTTGACTAGACTAATAACAAAGACAAAATCAAACCAACATCACATAGTAATTTAAAGTTCTATCTATTTATTAATAAAGAAATACAAAACGACATATCTGGACCCAGAGTTTAAGACTATATTGGTCTTACAAATAACAAATTTAATAATGTCACTGAAGAAGAATTATGTACTTAGTTATAATACTCCCAAGTAGCACTGAACGGTTTTATTCAGTACTTCAAACATACTTTAACACTGTAGAATAAAACTGCAATTAAAACCAATTAGTTTTAAAAGAAGCCTTAAAGTTGTAATAAATACGCCTTCAGCATAAAAGAGACAAAAAAAAAACAAAAATAAATGCCATCATAAAACTATATTACCTTGAACAACTGATTTTAAAGCTGCTGTAAATACCCTTTTAAAACCAGCTTAAATACATTTTAAACATTCGCGGTCTTGAAGTAGATTTAAAAATGTCAGTTACATGTATACTTTTAAAGATATTTTATCTTATTGTTAACATATGAAAATAGTTTTAATATAGCTTCCTAATTGCATATAAGAAAGTCGTTATGAGGTAAAGTAATGAAATAGTTTTAAAACGCATTATTTACTGGCGAAATTGTTCTAATATGAAATGGATTTAATAATAGGTTTTACTATTTACATTAAGATTCTCTTTAAAACTACTTAAAAACTATAACGTCATAATCTAGAACATAATAAAACCAAACAACCTGCAAGTCCTTCATAAAACTAAGTAGCTTTAAAGTTAAGTGAAACTAAACTTTTTTAAAACCACAAGACAAACTTTTAAGATTAATTATCCTTATTAGCGAATCTTATTAGATATTTTAGAACCAGTATTAAATGCTAAACAGCTTTTAACTGTCCGCAGTATATCAACAAGGTAACTTTAAATCCATTATCTTTTTATTTACCACATTAAAACCATTTTAAAACTCCAATAAACCCAAAGTGTTTTTATGGTGCTACTTGGGACTAATAATATTACACAAAATTAATACAAATACAGAATATAAAGTCTAATATGACATTATTATTTAAACCTGATGATGTCAACTAAGAAGAGTCAGTTAAGAACATTTTAAAATTTTTATAAAAAGGTCAATAATTCCTATATTCTTTATGATGCTTTTAAAATTATTGTACTGTCTTAGACCATCCGATAGTATGCTTCGATCATCTAAGCATGTTCTTCTGGCTGTGGTTCTGTAGAAGAGATTGTTCCTGGTATTGTATCCATGGATCCCATTGGCAGTAGTTAGTTTTAGGGATAAGTGTATATTATTCAGAGACAGGTTTATGAATAAAGATGCATGTCTGATATTTAGACAGGGACTAAATGTCTAAAATATTATTTGGACGATACAAAAGATCAGAAGGATGACAAGATAGAAGTTGAAAAATTTTTCTGATAGCCCTATCCTTTTTTCTCCAAATGAGAGTTAAATATGATAGATATGAGTAGGTAGATTAGTGAATAATAGCCTTTCTTAAGTCAGCTAACAATAGGCAACAATTGGGTAATATGATATTCCCAGTTGAGTTTGAAATCTATATACAAGCTAATATATTTAATACATTCTGTCCCAGTTAACTGTTCATTGTCTATATTTATTTGAAAATGGTTCTATTCAGGCTTGTTCGATATTACTAAAAAAAATTAACTTTTCATTATTCAATGTTAATTTATGAAACTTTAACCATTCAAAAATTTGATTTAGATCTTTCTCTATAATATTCTTAATTCCTCTGGATCTTTTCGAAAATAGTGAGCCATGTGTCATCGGCATATAGTTGCAGATAAATAACTAATGGTAACTAAGCTATGGAGTTTATATAAATGAGAAATAACGTTGGTCCAAAAATTGACCCCTGGGGTGCACCATAATTATTTATTTACGGGCAAGCCAATTTCAATTATCTTTGAAAAGAGACAATGCATTTTATGTAATTCCATGGTCTTTCAAAATAGATAACCGTAATGAGTAATTAACTGTATCAAACGCCTTATTTAAGTCGAGTGAAACAATGAGCCTAACATATTATTTTAAAAGTTAATAAGTTACGGCAATTAAACATTGCATAATAAGCATTTTAGTTTTTAATTATTGGCACTTTTTGACTGAATATTAAGTGGAAATTAATGTTATTTTAATTATACTTTTCTCTAGAGCTTTTTAAGCACATTTTTTTACCTGAGCGAACAGTAACATTTTAAATTACATCATGTTTGCCCTGTCGGCACTACGATGCTTATAGACTGTTCGATTCGGTCAATTTAACAATGTTTATGTTGGTATATCAGTCGGAAAAATGTTACACAACCTGCATGGGCTGTGTCTTGTCAAACGTTTAAGTGTGGCGATTGTGGCCCTCCCAGGATTTGTTTGGCTTTATGAGAAAACTTTGCAAGAGCTAATAATGTATATAATGGAATGGTTATTTTACTACTTACTATATTTAAATTATTAATAGTTTTGCGACGATAGGTTATAGCAACTTATAGCCACAAAACTATTTTTTGTTAAAGTAGATCCATAGAGAGCAATGTAATTTACAAAGGCCTTCTTTCAACATACAAATAAATGACAACTTTATAATTGTTTAAATTTTATGAATTGAGGAAATTTATGACTAGGAGTTTACTAATTAATATTTACAATTTGCTGGTTAAATATGTAATCCAAAACTGTATAATTAGAATTATCTACAAAAAACCAGCATTATATCTTTGATATAAAAAAAGTGCTTTGTATAAGAAAACTATATTATTTGTCTTGCTGTACTTTTATTTATGGAAAGTTTGAATTGATATACACTACAAATTTTTTGTAAAAAATATCAAATGAAGCATACATTTTTAAATAATTTAACATTTAAGAGCCACTCACACATCATAATACTTGACAGGTACAGCCAAGCATTATTCTGTTTTTGCCAAATAAAATAGCCGATTAATTATTCTATGGGGTTCCTACAGAGAACCAGTAAAATGGCTATTGTTGCAAGTATGAGGTCGTAACCCGCCTTAGAAATTTCACCTTTACTATCAACAGCTGTTGTTTGACAAGTTGTTAAAAAATGTTTGCAATTTATGGAATGTTGAGAATGTTAGGAATGTGGACGTTAGAAATAATTGGAATTCCTAAAATTGTTACATAAGAATTGCATAGACGGATTTTAAGAAAATTGATATTAAAGTAGTTAGGATGAACCGAAAATTCTGAAAATCAATAGGGTTCTAAGTTAGAAGTAATTATTGAAGAAAATTAAAAAGTTATTGTGCTGGCATACATACACACAGACGACCAGACGAATTTTTTTTGCATTTTCGTACTCAGAATGATCGGAAACATGAAAACAAGTTTTAAAAATGGAGGTAAGAAAAATTTTTCGTCTGCACGAATACAATACTGAGGCCCCATAGGAAGGGCCTTAGTAAAATGTAATGTGTGCATTTCAAATTTTTAGATTAAATTTATCTGGATGTTGTAAATTTGTTCTTATATGTATTAAAATTAAATATTTTTATATGAAATGTAAGTTAAGCTATTTATTTTTAGGTTAAACTAGGTTGACCTAAATTTTAGTATTTTCAGTTAGTCATATAGTTATTAATTTTTAGATCAAGCTCACCTACAATTTGTAGTATTTATCAATTTTATGTTCAAAATAAAATGCCCTATGGAATAAACCAATTTTGATCTCGGAATAATTTGATTCATTTGAGAATCCCAACCACTTAGTTAAACACAAAAACTACATTGAATTTCAACCGCATCTTAGTAGCCAGAAAGTGTATTTTGATGATGTCAGTCTAGTTGACGAAACGCGTGTCAAGTAGGCATATGAAAAATATGCATATACAGGGTGTTTCATAAGGAATGGTAAATATGTTAACCATAATAATATTTTTTAGTTGATATGGTTGGTATTTTATTTAACTAATGTGTTGTCCATAACGGTTACTGAATGTTGCGGAACATTAGATAATAGCCTCTTCCCAAGAAATTAGATAAGATGGTCAGATTTAAATTAAAATACCATTAGGGTAGGTACTAAATTTTTTACAAATATTGCAGTTGAATTGATTCTTTGCAAGTGTTGACATTGTATGTATATTGTAAATTTAGTGGACATTTTAAAAATGCCTAGACGTGCGTTAGATGTAGATAGTCTAATTTGTAGTGTACATAAGTATTTTACGGATGAAAAAGAAAATGGCGGTCCTTTAAAATCAGTAATGTCTGTACAACAACGCGTATGCGATGCTCTAGGAATTAGTGAAACCAAATTAAGAGGAGTATTACAAAATCACAATAGTAAACTGCCGAAAGAAGATCACCGCAAAAATCGCCCATCATTGAAAACGAAAGATATTCCAGATGGAAAGAAATTTGAAATTCGTGATACCATTTATCGAATAAGGGCCAACAAGGAACTTGTGACCTTAAATACAATTCTCTCGGAATTAATAGGTAGAAAATTTGACGACATTGGCAGAACAAGTCTATGGCAAGTGATACATAACTTGGGTTTCAAATTTCAAAAGGAGAATAACAGAAAGGCCCTTTGTGAAAGAAGTTCTGTCGTGCACAAGAGAATTAACTTTCTAAAAAAATATTCTAAATTTAAAGAAGAAGGGGCGAATTTTATATATTTAGACGAAACATGGATATTTTCTAGGGGTGTAACCAAGAGCATATGGCAAGATGATAACGTAAAGTCCACCAAACATACCGATGGAGAAGGGAAGCGACACCTAATTTTACATGCAGGAGGGAAATCGGGTTTTATAGAAGGTGCTGATTTAATATTTTCATCTAAATCAAAATCCAGTGACTATTACGATAATATGAACACAAAAATGTTTGTAAAATGGTTGCATGAAAAACTTCTCCCAGGTTTAAGTGAGTCCATCGTAATTATTTTAGACAATGCATTTTACCATTCTAAAGTATTAAATAAAAGTCCAACGAATTCTTGGACTGTTGATAAAATTAAAAAATGATTGACAGAGGAACATATACCATTTCCTCAATACATATTAAAATCAGAATTATAACGCTTGGCAAATATACACGCAAAACCAAAAACCTTTGTTGTGGATCAGATTATTGAAAGTTACGGTCATCAAGTTTTACGTCTGCCACCGTATCATTGCTAGTTTAATCCCATAGAATATATATGGGGAATAGCAAAACAATATTATGACAACCATATTGGGTGTAATGGTTATAGTGACGACGCAGTTCGGGAAACTTTGCGAAAAACACTTTCAATTGCAACTCCAGAAGTGTAGCGGAACTGTATATCCAAGTGCGAGAAACTAACAGAAGATTGGTGGACTCGTGAAAATAAAATAAACGAAATAAGTCCAATCATAATAACAATTAATGGTGATGATGATGACGATTATGATATTTTGGATGATAATGACTGATTTTCAATTTTTTTGGCAAGTTCAATTTTTTTATTTTTCATTTGAAATTCTCTACATGGAAAATTTTTTTATGTTAGAAAATATTTTATTAGAGCTAAATAACCCTCTTATTATACATAGACCAAATTTTCTGTGTGAAGTGTAATATAAAATTATTATTAGGTTTATAATAGCCACATTAGACTCCATTAATGAAGAAGTTTAATTCTGCTCTCAATTATACAAAAGATTCTCTATTATTATTTAATTAAAAAGTTTTACATTATTTTTCATTTCATTTAACCATTTTTTTATTTTCCCAAAGAACAGGTCAAACTTTTGGGTACTTACTTGGAAATACTCATAAAATTTTTAATCCGAAACCCGCGTAAGTATATTAAACAGACTATACTCCAATTAAATACAAAAACTACATTTAATTTCAACCGCATCTCAGCAGAAAACATAAGCCAGAAAGTGTGGTTTGATGGTTGACGAAACGTGTGTTAAGTAACTATATGAAAAATATGCATATACAGGATGTTTCATAAGGAATGGTAAATATGTTAACCATATTAATATTTTGTTAAATATCACTGGGTAAAAAAATGTTATTTACTTCAGATATACACGGTGTTGCTTTAAAATTTACTTTTTAGTTGATATGGTAGGTATTTTATTAAACTGATGCGTTGTCCATAGCTATTACTGAATGTTGCGGAATATTAGATAGGTGTTCAAATAGTGTGGATGTCATGTTTTCGTGATAACCTACAGCTGAGTCTCTTATTTTTTCGTCTGTTTGCAATATTACACCTTAATTTTCACTTTCCTATGGCCTCCATATTTCCATTGCAAATAAATATTATTTATCGTTCATAAATTCAAAATAGTAGGTATGCTCTCTAACTATACAAATCTCAAAAATCGCTTCTGGTTTTTAAAATCAACTTTTGTAAAATACGAACAAAAAATCAAGCGGCTAGAAAATTACTGGTTTCTCTTAAGCGACGTACATTCATTACTAGGTTGTTCTACTGTACAATAAATACGGGGCTTGATATTTATTTTATGTCAAAACAATATTTGAATGAACCCTATAAATTTAGTTAAAAATAAATTTATTCAATTCATAATAGATAAGGTATAACAATAGATATAAATTTTAGAAAATTACAAATAGTTGTGTTATTTTAATTATCTGTAATTATATTTATTTATTTGAAAATTTAACTTGTTCTATTTTAAATGTTAGTCAATTATGAAGTTTTATAATTTAATAAATGACATCGTCATTGTAATTATATTTTATTTAAAATAATATTAGATAGTGAGTATCTAATTGTTTTATCATTAAAAAAAGAAGAAAAGTGACCAAAAATGTTTACTCTTATATTCTACAGCTATAAGAGAGTTCAGATATATAGGATAGATTACCACAAACGTTTCATATAATCTGTTATTCCACTCAACTTATATAACAAATTGATTTTAAATTTTGAAACTGACAGTCTTCTTTATGCAAAACAATTAAAAAATTTAATTACCTATTCATTCTTTTTCGAAATTTCTTTCAATATTAAAAATATACCTTCATCCATTCGTTTATCTCAAGGAAATAGTTTCTGTTTTATTTTAGAAAAATGTTTACCAATTCTAATGGAACAACAGCTCAAAGTCAATCACCACGAAACCATATATATGATCACAGCGATCACTACAAAAATCACAACACTCAACCGATAGGTATATTATGGATACCGCGCGTATTTTTCGCAAAACAATAAAATATCAGCACCCCGAAAGCTGGACTATGACAGAATAGGTTGTAAGTATTTAGATTGAGTTCTGGTGGACCCAACTAAGGGCGGCGATATCCAGGACACTCCCCTAGTCGGTCAGAAACACCCCTAAAGTAACCCCTCTCTGTTTGAATCGCGCTGAGTGGAATTTTCGATCTCTTTTCCCTAACTCTCTAACGGTTTTGTGATACTTCTGTAACGTGTCGCTATGTGTAAATGTGTTTTCGGGGGGATGGGGATGTAACGTGTGTCTCTGTTAGGGGTGGAAAAGCATGGGCGCCCAAAGGAGAATAGCGATTCATTTTGGTCGGGGAATAATAAGAAGTGCTTTTAATAATTTTAAAGTCATTTAAAAGGCAATTTGTTGGTGCGAGAACTAACGCTTTTAAAAACAGGATTTACATTTTTTGGTTTTAATTTAATGAAGATTATTAAATTCATTTGGGTTTTCTATTATAGTATTTTTAATACAAATCCCGTTGTACGTCATAAATAATGTTAGTCTTTCGTCAAAGTACTACTAACTAATTCAAATATCCCTAATTAGGCTAATAATTCGAAAATGTCACGAATATTCACGAGCATTCATGAACGTAGTCATATTATTAAAAACCTACTTATATGATTTTTATATAAATAAAAAGTTCGTTAATTTTTTCGATCAAATAGTTTTTATTTTTTATAATTTAAGTACTACATATGTATCAGAAAATACAATTTTTCCATCTTCTGGTGCAGTGAATTTATAAAAAGTATGGGGACGAATACAAATAGTTTTAATTTTTTTTAAATTAATAGAACTTTCTATTTCACATCGTGTGAATGTGTGAAATATTATATGAAGGTGATTATTTTGATAATTTTAGAATTTCTTCTACTTATTAATTAGCTTGAACACGTCTTATACTTGATAATATAACATTTATAATAATTGTATTACATGTTTTTTACTCAAATAAACATACTTTACAGTTCATCAAATTTCTAGAGGTGTTCGACGCCCAGATAGAGAACGCGCTACGTGTGACTAAGATAGCTATTGTACAGTCTGCTAAACAAGTTATTTTAAATAGTTTTTAATATTTTTAGGTAATTACATTTTAAAAGTGTGGAATAGTTTAGGGATTAAATTGGTCTGATTGGACTTTCTTAGAACGTTTTTAAAAGCAGCTAAAGATAGTATGTAGAATTGAAAATAATTATTATGCCATAAAAGGTGTTTTGGAATTCCTTCAACCTTTTGAAATTGAGTCAGAAAATATAAATTTTATAGGATAGCGGAAAATACCTATAATTTTTTTGTAGGCCTTTGTAAATCGTGGAAATAGTTTATATTTTATTTCTACCTTATTAAGGAAAATGGTACCTATTATTAATAATGTTTCTGAAACATTACTAAATTTTTCGAAATTTTGTTTTTCTACAAAATAATAAACTATACTATTAAGAAAAAAATTTATTTCTCTTATAATTTTATAAAAAATAACAGGGGAATATTTACATTTCTTGATCTATTAAACAAAACGATAAATTATCTCGACGAATGACACCATGTTCTAGTACGGAAGCTAGCTTTACATTTTTGTTGGTGGTTTCATGGGTTTCATATCAATTTTTTGTAATTGTAGTTTACACGTACATATACCTCTTAACACTTGTTTACTTTATTAAAAAAGTGTGTTGTGATTTACGTCGAAATAAGTCAAAAACAACTTGAAACCCCATATAAAATCAAAAAGGAGAAACGGAAAAAAATTGAGCCTGTAAATGAACACAACTCAGAAACAAAAATAGCTATCTAATAATAAAAAAATAAAATTTGATTCTTGTGCAGCTTCATGTATATCATTAACTGTTTTTGGTTTTTTAATGGTTTTTCTTGGTGATGAAAATTCCGATATCTCACGGTTATCGATTCTTTTTTTCTCTCCAGAAATGCGGACGACAGTGTTTTTAGATACTCCTGTGGCTGCAGCAACACGATCATTTACATTTTTAAATGGTATTGAAGGTGAATTAAAGTTTCCTTCTCTTCTCATAAACTCTATAACATTGGCTATTATTTCGCGAGATTGACTGTTAATCACGCGGCCTCTTAATTTGCTATTAAACTCCATACTTAGGTTCTATTAAACTGTAATGAGCAAAAAACACAAACGAAAATAAAAGAAATGTTTTAGCGAAATTTACATCTGACATTTACGTCTGAATGAAATAGTGAAATACTTGATGCGCAGAGTGTACTTTCATTGCGTAAATCCGTCGGGATGCCTGTCAGTAGTGCTTTCTCTGTCTAGCCGTCGAAAGCCTCTAGAAATTTGATGAACTGTACATAATATAATTTTGACATTCTGTACGCCCATAAAACTTCTATTCATGGAGAAGAAATGTCATTATGACAATTGGTACACCTTGTTGAAACGATGCCAAGATGCCAAGAATATTTTAAAAAATATAACTGATTTAGGTTAGGTTATATTTAAGATTATGTTTACAATTGATTTCATGAATTCTAAAACAGTGTGAGAAGAAGGCCTAAGGAGCTTCATTAATACAGTATTTTAAACGAAGTTAAAAATTATTAAAAATATATAAAAATATGAAATTGATTTCGTTTCCGTTTTAGACTGTTGCAGCAACCCTAAACCTAAATAATTCTAGGGTTAGTTGTATTTCGCAAGCAGTCAAGAATAATGAATGATTAAAATCGCTACTTAAAAGGCATTCATATAAACAAAGGATTACTAAGAATAATGTTAATTATCTGTTAAAAAAAATTACAATTTAAAGGTATATAACAAAATATTTAACACGATAAATAAACAGGTTAAAACACAGAAGCAGTAGAAATACCGCTTATACGTGCTGTTAAATTAACAATGAAATTTTAATTAGTATGCCTATTATACATAATAACAATCAAAAAGTTAAACTTAAATTCTGTTTATATGTCTATATCAGGAATAAAAAAATTTTTGAAAAAATATGGAGAAAAGACAAAATCAGGAAAAGGTCAAAATTGGGCAAATTTAAATTTGTTTGTGTTTAAAATTATAATTAAAATTGAATTTGATAAGTTTTTTATTTAGTATAATAAATTATTAAATAAATTGTTTTCCATCTTAAATAACCATTCTTTTATTTTAGTTTTGTAAGAACTATATTTATAATAATTTTTTATTGTTTCAGGTAGAGGTGAATATAACTTAGATGCTAGTTATGATAACACAATCATAGGGAACACAAGTAGAAATATGCAGACGCGGCAAGTCCAAGATAAGGCCCCACCAAGATCTAACGGCAACAAAACTAGTTCGTTGCCGGCATTTTCTAGCTTTTACATTTTAACTTTTGTATCATTAAGACCTAAAATAAAGTTCCGCTTTTTGTAAAGTTTTTAATATTTTTTAAAAAACCAATTTTTAATAGCGAACCTAAAAGTGGCGCAGTCAGTAGGATTGCCTAACGGTGTGACAACAAAAATCGTGTCAAATCGGTCTATTTTAATAGTTTAACGGCAAATCGAATTCGCGAAAATTGGTAAAATAAACTGAGCAAAAAGTGTACAGCCAAGCATAGGACCAACATTGCCGAAGTTTGGAGAACCTGGACGAGGACCACATCGCCAAATCCAGCTAATTTTAAGAAAATCAGGGAGAACAGACAGCATCGCTTGACCCCGTTGATATGACGAAAATAATCCTAGGAATTGCGTTCCTCGCAACCATCAACTTCACAAACTGCAAACTGACTCAACCAACATTCCATAATATTACCGACAATCCTGGACTTTTAACTCTTAAATTAGGAAAGACTCAAAACATAATTGACTACTGGTCATTTGTAAGAATTTTCGACATTTCCAAAGTAATAGACGAATTTAAGTCACTACAAGCCAAATTTCCGACCTACAAACGATAACAAAAAATAAACTTATAAACCAGACCAAGTCAGATTCTGAGGACATCTTTGTTACATTTCAAATAGTAACCATATTAGAAAATAAAATTATTACCCAAATTAATCAATTAAACCCGTCACTTGAACAAACCCATAGAGAAAAACGTGGACTTCTTAATGGTTTAGGTACAATAATTAAATCAATATCTGGAAATTTAGATCAAATCGACGCAGAAAAATATGACAAAGCCATAGAAAATCTTTCGAAAAATCAAAATAAGATGAAATCTTTAATTAATGAACAAATTACCTTAGTTGAAAATTCTTTAGACATATTTAATAAAAGTAGTCAAGTCTTAGCTCATAATCAACTAAAATTAAAATCTCAAATAAACAAAATAGAACACATTTTAGAAACCGCTCAAATCCAAAATAAACAAACTTTTGAAAGTGTCTATATTCAAGAAGTCACAAATCAAATATCAATTTTATATCAAAATATCTACGATTTACTAGAAAAAATTGAAACTGCTATCACATTTTCCAAAATAAATGTTTTCCATAATTCGATAATAGATCCTAAAGATTTGATCAACCATATTAAATTAATCAATAACAATTTATTAAACAACAAATTACCTTTTGAACCAATTTTAAACAATATACTTAAATTCGAAAAAGTAATGCAAATTAAAAGTTATAGTAAAAACAATAAAATTATTTTTATCATAGAAATCCCAATTGTGGAGAGAGAAAATTACGATTTATATCAACTTTTCCCTTTACCTACTCCTAAAAGCAACCTTTTCCAAATGATTATTCCAAATTCGAAATTCCTCATCCTAAACGAGCA